CAGAATTTTAAAATATTGTGCACAGAATTTAATTTTTTGGTGCCAAATTCCCTCAGGAATATGGGTGCTGAGCAGTTGGGGTGGGGGAGCTGTGAGAGGGCGCTGGACAGTGGGGGGGAGATCGCTGGGCATAGGGACCTGTGGTGGAGATCTCTGGGCGAGGGGCCACTGGGCATGGGGGTTGCTGGGCATAAGGGGGCGTGGGGTACTGGGCAGGGGTGTGTGTGGCGGGGGATGCTGGCAGTGCTGGGCTGGGTTTGGGGGCGCAGGTGGGAGGGAAGTGCAGGGGTTGGGGTGAAGGCGGCACAATTAAACTGTGTTTAGTAAGGTGCATGTGTCAAGTTTTCCAATACTGTAAGCTTATGTTTGCATTACTAAGAGCAACTCGGGCATGGGGCACCGGTTTAATAATAGTGCGTGGGCAGGGCCGGCTTTAGGAAGTGCGGGGCCCGATTCTAACAGTTTTGACGGGGCCCCGGCAGGGATGACTGAAAAAAAAAAACCGTAAAAAAACACGTGGGGCTTGTACTCACTGGTCGGCACTCCTAGTCTTTGGTGGTGGGTCCTTCACTCACTCTGGGTCTTCGGTGGCACTGAAGGACCTGCCGCTGAAGTGCTGCCGAAGACCCAGAGCGAGTGAAGGACCCGCCGCTGAAGTGCCGCCGAAGACCTGGAGCGCTGCCTGGTGAGTAAAAATTAACAAGGAGCCTCTAGCCAGGGAAGGGATTCTCGACCACTTGCCCCCACCCCGGCAGCCCTGCCACTGGGCGGGGGGCCCTCTTAGGTGCGGGGCCCGATTCGGGGGAATTGGTGGAATTGGCCTAAAGCCAGCCCTGTGCGTGGGGCCCCATAAATCCTAAGGACTGCCCCGCCCACAGTCATGGTAATTGTACATGCAAATGTAAATGCGTAACTTGATAATATAAATAATATTTTTCCTCTGGAATTTTAAAAATGTACAACTGTATTTGCTTTTAACATTGCTTTGTACATAGAACAGGTTAGATGAGTTACCTTTAAATTCTTTGAACACATCCCACTAACTAGTGCTAAGACACCATTATCAGTCACCTAGAAAAAAAAATCTGTTATTGGCATATTGGATTAAAGAATGGCACGTACATATCTTTTTAAAAAGCAGTAATTTTGGAAGAACAACCAGAGAGGGTGCAATGACGCATCCAGTGCGGTAATGCAACTGATCCCAGAGAAGCAAGGCATGTATTTTCAGTCATTAAACTTACACACTTTTTACATGCCCTGTGCTTTAGACAAAATCATTTAGTTTTCCTCTGAACTGACACAGGAGAGTTATGCAAATATATATTTTTACTCTACTTAGTAGTTTAAAATCTAAACGATAAAGGCATCCTGTTGTAGCATGTTCTTGCTGTATGATCCAGTATAGACTGCCACACTTGGGCTGGATCTACACTAGCTTTCTGTTGAGAAATCGTCAACTATTGCATTGCCACCGGTGCAGTTCTATCAGAGGTAGCAACAATGGAGCACTAGTATAGATACAGCATGGGCATTTTTAATACAAGGTGTTGAAAAATGACATGCCTGTTTCTAAAATGACTGAATTGTGCCACAGGGAGATTTTCTGAAAAAGGGTAGTGTAGGCAACTTTTGGCAGTCTTCTCTCGGCTTAAAATTTTATTTCTGCTAACCTTGAACTACACATAAAATTCAAATGAAATACATACTTTTTAAAAATATAGAGCCAAATTCATGGCTAGTGTAAGTAGGCACAACTTCACTGACATTTACACCAAAGGTGAATTTGACTCACTGTGGTTTTGAAACTGGCTCTTAAAATGGGGGGACAAGGTGGGTGAGGTAATAGCTTTTATTGGACCAACTTCTGTTGGTGAGAGAGAAAAGTTTTCAAGCTTCACAAAACTCTTCTAGGTTTGAAAGTTTGTCCCTTTCACCAACAGAAGTTGATCCAATAAAAGATCCACCTTGTCTCTCTAATATCATGGGACCGACACGGCTACAACACTGCATCCAACAATCTTTTTAAATGGGTCAGGCTGCTTTCAGCTGCCCAAACCAGGAGTACACTGTAATTTTAATCAGTTTTAGAACTGGTTAGAAAATGTCTCCAATGCAGACATACATGCCCATGTAGTTCTTTACATCCAGATAAGCAGACGTTTACTAGAAAGACAGTGTAATATAAATCTTCAGACCTTTAATGAGAATTTGAAGTTTGTAAAATGTAATACATTAAAATCAGAACGTTTTGATGACGTGTGTCACACCCCAATGCCCCCCCCTCAAGGGGTCCCCTGGGAAAGGCAAATCAGCATTGTATATGGCTAATGCTATTGCAAACATCGCAGGACATTTTGGGAAAGGTCAAAGGTGTGAGTGAGTGTGGAATGGAAGATTCCTTTGCAGGTTGCAAGAGGCCAGAGGGGGGAAAAGGAAGAGAGCAAAGAACGGGTTAACTCCTCGCTCCTGTTAGGTCCAAAAATAAAACGCTAACTCCAGACAGTTCAAGGCCACAGCACACATCTGACTCTCGACTGCCTGCCAAGGAAGAGGGGGGCCCAAAATCCACCAACCAGTCTTAAAAAAAAATAAAAAAATTCAGCTAAACAAACCTGCAAAGACAGCCCATAACAAGCAAGGCAAACGAACGCCAGCACAATGAAAAGCAAAAAAACCAACAAAGTCTAGCCGGTGTGTTTTGGGAAAGTCGAGGAGATCACAAAAAGCCAGTTTTAACTGGCACAAAAAGCATCAAAAGCAAACACCCTCCAAAAAACCCAAAACTTAAAACCCTCTTAAAAGCTGAAGCAATTCAGAGATCAGCAGCGGACCTCGAACAACCTGGGCCCAGAACAAAACTCCGGTCCACCCTTCCCCCTCTTCTTCGTACTTTACACCCAGGCTTAGCCAGCCTTGGGTAGAGCATGTGTGAGTATGAAAATGGGTTAGGGCTTGGGGCACTAACGCTTTCTTCCTTCCTCTGAGTGACGTGGAAGCTCCCGTCACTCACCGCTGTTATTTTGTTATTTTATTAATAGAGCTTTAAAACTTAAACACTTGATGTTTCACATCATCTCCTCCCCAAACAATGCTGTGGCCTCAGCCTGATCACCTGACATCTCAGGCAGATTGGTAACAGAAATCTGCCACAGTTTGGTGGAGAATTGCAGAGGGCGGAGGGGAGCCCTGCGGAGTGCACCAACTGTTCTGCCCTTGGTATTTCATGTTTGATCTGCCGGCACTGTTGGTATTTCATGTTGAGGATTTTATAATTACAGGTGTGCCCCACCCGCAGTCGTAGCATGGCTGAGAACCGGAGGGAGGTTTAGCATTCCGCTCTCCACCCCGATCGGTGGGGGAAGGGAGCAGGTGGGTCTTCCCCCTGTTGTAGAAGTGCTGGGCAATAGAAGAAGGACTTAAAGATCCTCGTTCCAAGTAACAGGGACAATCCTCGGTGCATACACCCTCAGTCGTAGTGTAACTAAGTAGAAGGGGGAAGCTGGGTTTCTTGCTCAGCCTGAAAGGGGCACTTGCAGAGGAGAGCTTTGGGTTTCTCGCTGAGCTCAGGGGGGCATTTGGTGTATGGACCCTCGGTGTTAAAGAACCACCGTGTAATATGGAGGGAGGCTTAGCGTTTCTCCCTCTGGCCCAGTGGGGTAACATTGGAAGCCCCGGTGCTGGCGTGAGCTACGTAAAATCTCATGTAATAAAGACATCTTAAGAGTTGTACTAACGGATTGTGACAACATGTTCAGGAAACAGAAGGGTACCGCTGCGGACTCAGGAGTCCTGCAGTCGTGGGCGATGGCATCAGCAATGGGTTCAATGTCGGAAGTATGGGCATTAGGGAGCGCGGACACGGTAGTCGGCTGCCCGGTCAGCTGGCGTCACAGGAGGCAGGTGAACCTGATGCCCAAGCCACAGGAGAGGCAGCAAAAAGGGACGGGACCCTGCTGCCTCTTTCAAAGGGGGGGCTGAAGACCTCTCCCGGCTGGAGAGAGTTCTCACCAAGGTGAGATACAATCCATGGGGTTTCGTGGCAAATCTTCAAAAAAGAGTGCAGACTTGGCAGGATTTATTAGACCCTTATGTCAAGTATAAAAAGGTAAAGGGCAAAAACCTAGGGGCAGCTGTGGAATTAATTTGGACTGCAGCAGCCATGCGGTATCAAATGTTGTCGGGAGAAAAAGAGGAGTTGGGGAGAAGGGAAGAGGTGTGTACTCAACAGCTGGTAAAAATTAAGCAACTAAAAGTGCAAATTACTAACCAGGTTGCAACCCAAGCCTATGCCCAGGACAAATCGCAGGCCTTAAAACAGAACTTCCAGGTGGAAAAGGAGGAACGCACCTGCCTAAAAGCACTAGCTAAGCAAGTACTGGTCCTTCAGGAACTAATCAAAGACTTGACTATTTGTGCTCAGCATACGCTGCAACGGCACTGTACTCACCATAAAAAAAAATTGAACAGTTAAAACATCAATTGGCTGTGCGTTCTGTCCAGATGGCGAGGCTCACGGGGGATAATTCAGGTAACCCTTGTGAGGGCTTTGATCTCTCCCTTTGTAAGAATCCTCAATTTTGGGCGAAACCTTGTTGCACCCCTATAGTGGCCCTCATTAAGACCGAGGAGAGGTCCAGCGGGTGAAGGGGGAGAAGGTCATATGTACGGCACCCCCAACTACAAGAAAAGCACCCCTTGGGGTAATTACAAAAAGGAAAGGGACAAGAACCAGAAGGGGTGGGGGGCTAGTTAAGAAGCCCACTGTCCTTGCTAAATTGGTAGTGGAACAAAGCCTGTGCCCATAAAAAACAGGATCGGGCCCAAACAAGCAGGCAGGCAATAAATTAAAAAAATAAAAAACAGGTTGGAAGCCTTAAGGGCATAGTGGCAGGAGTAAGGAAAGGAGTAAGTGCAAATATGGGGAATTCAAATCCCTAAAACAGTCCTTAAAATAATAAAATCTAAGTAAATTGAAGTATCATTTTAAAAAATAAGCAAGTAATTAAGGAAAAAAAGTTAACTCTGTAAATGCTGGAGGAAACTGAGCAGTTAAAGTTGTAAAAATATTATTAAAAAAAATTCTTGGTTTCTTTGAAGCCATTCTGAAGGAAAAATGGGCCCTTTTTCAGGAGAATGTCTATAAATGATCCAAGCAAAAAAAACCCCTATCCAATTAAAATCATTTAATTATAAACAATTTAGTAGTCAAATTTGCTAAAAGAACCTAAGGGGGTTCTATTAAAACTTAACTGCCCCAAATGTATAAAGGGAATGTAATCTATATACAGCTATGTAAAAACAAAGCAGTGTAAACAAAATGTACATTTTCCCCCAAAACATGTGTATATTATAAAAAAAAATAAATAAATAAAAATACAAGCATACCATACTACTTAATTAAAATCCTATTAGGGCTCCAAAGGAAGCCACAATAGGTTATGTTTTCCTTTTTCAAATCATTGTGTGTTTTAAAAACAAAAATTAAAAATTAAAGGTAATCAAAACCCTGGTAAAAGTTAATTGTGTCCCTTTTAAGACAGAGTCTCTGAGCTACTAATAGCTTTGAATCCAAAAGCAAGCCAAAAAGCGTCTGTGTTAATACAAATTATCTAACTAAAAAAAGGTAAAAACCATTAAAATCTGGCCTGCCTATAAAACAAACACAAAAAAATATGGGGGTAATTCCTCGATTTTGCCTGCCATCAGCAAGGGGTATTTATAAAAAAAATATTTTAAGCAAAAATCTGCCACCCCCAAAGGGGTAAAAACATGTTCTTTTTGTCTTTCAAAAAAATCAAAAAAGCTAATATCAGCTAAAGAGCAACCCAAAATACCATAAATCTACAGTCACAATAGAAATTGTGTTTTGTGTTCAATGTTTTGTTTTGTGTTGTTCCTAGCACTGTTGTGTATTAAATGCTGCAAAAAAAAATAATCCTCAGGCAGCAAACATGTTAAAAAAAATGGTTTTAAAGCAAAAATTATATAAACTATAAACCTAAAGGTAATTAAAAATAAGTTAAGCTCCCTGTCCCAGCTACAAAACAGCCTAATACAAAAACAAATTA